TATATGTATTTAAGTAATACTATTATTTTGAAAAAAAAAAAAAAATCAAAATAATAGTAGTTAATCTCACTGGTCAAAATTTGTCACATGCATGGTCAATCCTGACCTCATCGTTATGTTGACTACATAAAATATAATGTAAAAGGCTACATATATAAAATACACCACAAAATGAAAATCAATAATAATAATATTATTAAGTGCCAACACATTATCTTGAATATTAGTCTGATTAAGTACATTGTTAAAAAAAAAAAAAAATACATACTGAGCAACATGGTTACTGTACACTTTTATTATGTGAATGATTAAATTTGTTGTTGTTTGTGTGTCCTTTTCGTGGTCTTTTCTTTACCAAGTAGTCAGATTCATATTCTGATATTCTCATAAAATTTCATAATTTATAGTCTTTCTGCTTATATATTATTGATGAGATCTCCACTTAATATAGTCTGGCTTAAGACAAAACAATTTTATTCTAGCCCATTTTAGGGCCATTTGGTTTTGTTTTAATCAACAAGGCCTGGTTGCAATAATAAATCGAATCTGAACCCAACCAATGCATCAAATATTTTATTGAAAAATAAAAATATTTGTCTGACTATTAGATTTTAGAAGATAAATAAATTTCACCTCCTGGACAAAAGTATCATTAAACATGTGCAGATATATATATAGATAAGGCTCAATAAATTTCACAGATTAAAATAAATATTATTAATTTGAAACTAGAAAAAAATAGTCCTAGTTGTAGTTTTTCATTTGAAATAAAAAATAAATATTGCTTTGGATTGAGGCATTTTTGTATGTGTACTAACTTATGCCACCAAATTTAAATAGATAAAGTATAGACTATAGAATATGAAGTCACTAGCTAATAATAATTAAATTATATTTTGGTTTTATTCTCCACTTATTGAATGGATGAGGAATAAGTAACACTGCTAGTGATGCAGATTTTTGTTGTCCACTCTTCAAAGTTATTCACACAAATAATCTAGACTGCAGATGATGTGATGAAAAATGCTTTAATTAATTAACTTTGTGGGATGCATTATTAAGCAAGAATTTAACATAACAATATCCATGTTTTGGGTAATTAATGTGGAAAATAATTAAATGTAGTAAGTATGAATACTTATAACTTATAACATTAGTAAAATAATGTGGAGGAGTTTCATTTCACCTCTAATTAATTACCTAACCAAATAAATCCATCATAGAAAAGTCAAAGAAATTCAGCTACATAACTAATTGAACATTTGAGTAGCTGCATGCTCCATCCTTATCATCTATTGCTTATATACTTTTTTAAGGAGGCACAAGTATTTTACATTATTTATGATTAAAATAAAAATTACCAAGAGTTTCTGGTTCAGTTGAACTTGTTTGATAAATAAGTCGAGCTCCACTTTGTTCGAAACCTATTTAGTTAAGATTTGAAGGTATTTTTTTATGTAATTTTTAATAGTCCTACTCGTTGAAACTCGAGTTTGGCTCTTAATGCTGATAAATGTGCTAAACTCTTAGCTCGTTTATCGACTTGTTTAATCAACGAGTCGAGCTGGCAAAAACTGGTACCTGAGCTTGACATCGACTCATTTATAGCTCTAATGGACACATGGTGATGGAAGGACAATGAAAGTGAACTTTCAACCAAAATGAAGAAAAATGATTGAAATTAGTTGCATCTCATTTGTGACAATTATATGACACTACTTTCTTTTCAAATTCTCATGTCTGGTCGAAATGCATTTGTCCCACATCAATTATTTTGCCGAATTAATTTCAAGTTTTCCATATTATTATATTGCTCATAAAAAAAAATACATATATGACAGAATATAGAATGAACAAAGAAAAGAGGAAAGATTGTATTGAACACGGCGAGAGTGAAAGAATGAGAAAAAGTGTTTGGTTAGGGTTACATGAATGCTATTTATTCTAATGCCGAAGTAGAGAGTTGTTACTATACAAATGACAATTCTTCCTATTCTATAAGACTAAAACTGAAGTACAAATAATAATAAAGAGTGTACAACTCCCAATAATATAAATAATAAAAAAATACAATTAATTAATTATCTCAACAAATTCCATAAAAAAAAAAAAAGAAAATGGAAATGAAAATATTTAATCCAATTGCAGTGTGCAGGCTGCTATACAGAGCAAATTTGACCACAAACAGAGAAGGTTTTGATCAGACATCGGAAGGTGCAGAAACGCTGTCGTTTTTGGTCCACGTGGGCCCCACCTCGTGCTTTTGTAAGTTTGTATGCTCTTTGCCACTTGTGTGTGTGTGTGTGTGTGTACGGTAATAATCTTTTCCCCCTATTTTTCATTTAATAAAAACTAAATAAAACAAAAGATATATATATAAAAATAAACACATCATAAAAGGTGGATAATTGCCCCCCCTCTCAATAATAGACATGTGATAAAATTAAGCACATCATAAATCTAATTTTAGGCAATAATAAATTTTGAATATTTAAAAATATTTTCCAAATCAAAACATCATATTTTCAAATAAAATATATATACAAAAATGTATGATGTATTTTTATTCAATTATTTAACAAGTCAAGGCCTTCCTACCTTCTATTTTTATAATGTATATTGTTTTAAAAAATTGTACATTAATTAAGAATATTTTTTTTGTCAATAATAACCTTATTTAATGAAGATATAAATGAATATTTTGAGAAAAAATGAATAGTGAATATAAAAAAATGTAATGTATTTATTAGCTAAATGAGGTAATAATTGAAAATCATGTGCAAAAAATCCAAAACGACATTTATTTAGTTAATAATTGATAAAGCTAAAATGACATTTAAAAAAAAAATAGGAGGGAGTATGTTTTTGCAGTTGTGTTAGACATTGTTTGATCATATTTTTTCAACACAACATACATACATAGCATCCTAAAAAAAACTAGTATAACATAAATTTTGATATTTCATTTCATAATTAAATCCTTTATTATTTTAATATACTATCTCCTATTCTTTTTAAATATCATTTTGACATTATCAACTATTAACAAAATAATGTCGTTTTAGATATTTTGTACATATTTTTTCATTATTACTATCATCTAGCTAATAAATACATTAAGTATTTCCATATTCACTCTTCATATTTTCTCAAAACATTAATCTTTATCCTTATTATTATTGGCAATAAAATTATTTTTAATAATTGTTCAACTTTGCAAAACGACACTTGTTATAAATAGGAAGAAGTACTTTTTGTGGGATTTGATGGTGCAACCCGTTTCCAAATTTCGTTATCGGGTGGGTTGGTTAGTTTAAGGGTCTATAAATACAAGCTCCGCCATAGAGGACCCTTTTTTTTTCCTCTCTCTCTCCTCCACTACCACCCTCCTCACTCTATTTGCCTACTCGCCGGCAATCTTGCCGGCCGCCACCCTCCCCGGAATATTTTCCCTTTATTCTCTCATCACCCCTTCTTGCACAAACACATCATATAAAGGTCAGTTCTTTTTTTTTCCTCCCCTTTTCTAAATATATATAGCTTTTGATGTTCCCTGTTTCTTGATCTGTGACAAAAGAGATTTAGATCTGGCCGTGTATCCACAGATCATGAATTTTTATTTAATTTTTTTTTTCCATAGACCATTTTTGAATTTGAAATCTTTCTTCAGCTGTTTTTTTCCTTTGAGATTAGTGGGTTCTTTTTCCCCCCCATTTTTGGCAGCTGTTTATAACTGGATCTTGCAAATTTTGTTGTGTGTTAATGTGGTATCTTTTTTTGTTCCCCAGCTATTAAAGATTCGATCTTTAACCTTTTTTTCGTGTTTTCTATAGCTTATCTCTACGGTTTGGCTCATTTTTTTTGTCCTCTGGCATGTGTTTGTGTTATAAAGGTGCAATCTTTCTAAATTCTCTGTACTGAACTTTGTGTCTCCTTCTTCTTAATTTTATGATAATATCTCTTACCTAAAATTTTCAGTAGTTTGGGTGGGTAGGTGGGATTCGAGACTGTTGTGGTATGTTGTTATCTGTCTTTAATACCTTAGCTTAAGCTATGAACTTTTTATTCAAGGTGGATGCTAACTAGAAGCATTATTTATTTATTTTTTTCTAACTAATCAGAGTCATTACATTGCTGTTACCTTGAAGATTAATTTATTTGCACATAGTTAACAAGTTATCGGTAGCTCAAGTGCCCTTTCTATGTTCATTTTACTATTAACTACTTTGTGGCTCTTGAAAATTGGAGCTTTCGGCTATGCGGTGTTTGCATCGAAGATAAGACATTTTAGTCTGTTTCTAGTCAATTATATCTTCATGAATAGCCATTGATATTTTTGGTAATCGTTTTCTTTTACCTTATACAGCGTCATTTACTTCTTCTTTGTATCTCGATGAGCATGTGATATTTCGAGCATTTGTGGTATGCATAAATTTTAACATTCTATATCTGTGTAGCTTCTGTGCATACTTTAAAATTGAATATGCCAAGTATTCTGAACACAATATCAATTCATATTTCTATGACAGTCTTGGCTCGTCCTATTTTGCTCCTTTATTTGTTAAAAAAAAATGGGTTAGAATGGAAGGGAAGTCCTTTTTACAGCTGCCGATTGATTATTTTGTGGTACATTTCATTACCGAGCATGTAATGTACTTGCTTTTTGTAAAAGTCTTGTTTATAATGGAATAGAAGTCCTTTTTATAACCGAAAAATGATTTTTCTTAAACATTCGCTTTACCGAACAGGTGATGTATGTGCCTTTTTTTTTTGGTTAAAAACCAGTTTATGAAGGAAGGCAAGTCCTTTTTTTAGCTAAAAGTTGATGTTTTTACATACCCTTTACAGAACATGTAATGCATATGCCTTTTTTTTTTGTGTGTGAGTGTGTATGTGTTCTTCATTCTTACCTGATATCAAATGATCATTTTTCCTGGTGATGCAGATTGAGAGTCAAAACAAATCATGGATGGAGTTAAGGTTGTTCTTGATGGAGTGAAGGGGGGAATATCGGACAGCCCAAAAGAGCCCGGGCTGAAAAACGTGAGTTCACAGCTGTCGATATCCGAAATGGACGATTTTGACCTTTCGAAGCTGCTCGACAAGCCCAGACTGAACATCGAGAGGCAAAGATCGTTCGACGAGAGGTCTCTTAGTGAGTTGTCGATTGGTATTTCGAGAGGCTTGGATTATTACGAGAGCGCTTATTCTCCCGGAAGATCGGCACTCGACACGCCGGCCTCGTCTGCCCGAAATTCTTTCGAGCCGCATCCAATGGTTGCAGATGCTTGGGAGGCTCTTCGGAGATCATTGGTGCACTTTCGTGGCCAGCCGGTTGGGACTATAGCTGCCTATGATCATGCCTCGGAGGAAGTTTTGAATTATGATCAGGTAAACTATTACTAGTTTTTAGTTTTTATATTTCTTTAAATTTTATTTCGGTTGCTTTTGTCTCTGAGAACTTCTTAAAAGGTGGAAGTGTTAAATTTGGTGACTTAGCCGAATGTTTTTTATTTGAAGTTATTAATGCTGAAGTTGACAATAAGAGGCCGTTAGTTATTCGACTGATAAGAATGTATGTGTATAGCAGAGGAAAGAAGAAAGTGGCTGTCATTTTATGACTGATAAAAAAAGATTCTTTTTTTTCCTCAAAATGCGCTCAAAATACCAACTTTGCTTCTGATTTCTGCGTAGTTCGATTTGAAATTCGTAATCTTTATTCTAATCCATGGAAACAATGCTTCAGATTTCTGATTCTGCTCGTAATTTATTGTAACGCTCTTTTAATACATTTGCCAATTTCATAAGTTATTCTCATTGGACTCAAGACTTGAATTTTATCCAAATACAGGTTTTTGTTCGGGATTTCGTCCCGAGTGCACTAGCCTTCCTTATGAATGGCGAGCCGGACATAGTCAAAAACTTCTTACTGAAAACCCTTCAGCTTCAAGGGTGGGAAAAAAGGATAGATAGGTTCAAGCTAGGTGAAGGCGCTATGCCAGCTAGCTTCAAAGTGCTTCACGACCCTGTTCGAAAAACGGACACGATTGTAGCCGATTTTGGGGAGAGTGCAATCGGGCGAGTTGCCCCGGTTGACTCGGGTTTCTGGTGGATTATTCTTTTACGTGCGTACACAAAGTCAACCGGAGACCATTCTTTGGCCGAGACGCCCGAGTGTCAAAAGGGGATGAGACTTATCTTGGCCTTATGCCTTTCCGAAGGGTTCGACACTTTCCCTACCTTGCTTTGTGCGGATGGTTGCTCGATGATTGATCGGAGGATGGTGAGATTACTTACAACTCATGTTTTTTAGTTTATTTATATAACATTGTTGTGGAGTGTAGCTTATTAATGAAGGCAATTAGATATATTGTTATGAAAAATCTCTCTAAGATTTGGGCTAGTTTCAAAAGAGAAGACAAAAAAAAAAAA